GGATCAAGGAGGAGCCGCCGAGCCCCACGCGCAGCCCCCGGATCGAGGAGCCGAGTCCTGGGAATCCTCCCACGGCAGAAACTCCTCTGTCCCCGTCCACCTTCATCGACTCCATCCTGCGGGACAGCGATCCCGGCGCGCCCGGCGACGGCTCCGCGCAGCCCCATTCCCAGGAAAAGTGCCTCAGCGTCGCCTGCCTCGACAAGTGAGTGCTGGGACTGGGACGCGGCCCACGGGCCCAGCTTGGCACGGGGATTCCAGGGGGATTGGAACTGGATGTGGTGGGTGAGCCCTGAGAGCTCCCAGGGGGATGGATATCCCTCTCCCGTCCCTGCGGAGAACCCGGAGCCGCTTCCAGGGACTCTGGGAGAGCTGAGAGGGATGTGGGACAAGGGATGGAAGGACAGGACAAGGAGTGATGGTTCCAGCTGGATTGAAATGGGATACTGGGCAGGAATTCCTGGCTGGGAGGGAGGGGATGGGCTGGGATGGAATTCCCAGAGCAGCTCTGGAGGAGGCAGCACAGGGAGCTCATGGAGAGAGTCCAGAGGAGCTCACGGAGCTGCTCCGAGGGCTGGAGCAGCTCTGGATCCAGCTGGGAGAGCTGGGAATGTGCATCCTGGAGAGGAGAAGCTGCAGGGAGAGCTCCGAGCTCCTTCCAGTGCCTCCAGGAGCTCCAGGAGAGCTGAGAGGGACTTGGGCCAAGGCCTGGAGGGACAGGACAAGGAGTGATGGTTCCACCTGGATTTAGATGGGATACTGGGCAGGAATTCCTGGCTGGGAGGGTGTGGAGGGGCTGGGATGGAATTCCCAGAGTAGCTGTGGCTGCTCCAACCCTGGAGTGTCCCAGGCTGGGTGGGATGGCACTGGAGCCTCCTGGGATGGGGACAGTGTCCCTGCCCATGGAATGTGCTGATCCTTGAGTTCCCATCCCAGCCCATTCCATGCTTCCCATCCCAACCCGTGGCACACAGCCCTGTCCCCATCCCACCCTGGAGCTCAGCACCAGCTCCAGAGGCTTTGGAGCTGGATTGGCCCCATGTCCCAGTGGGATGAGCTGTGCCCAGGATGTGCCACTCTGGGAGCTCCAGGGAATGCAGCAGGTGCTCCTGGTGCCAGGGGATTCCTGGGATGCTCCAGCACCACTCACCTGGATCCGGAGCCTGCCAGGAGCTCTCCCACATCCCTGTGTGCCAGCACAGGGAGCAGCTCTCCCTTGTTCCCGGGATCTGGGGGAGGAGCAGCCTGGCCGTGGAATGTGAGGCCTCTGGGGCTCCAGTTTCATCCACAGAGCAGCCTTTGTCCCAGGAATCTCGGGAGGAGCTGGGAATTACCTGTGCCTGACCTGCAGGTGCCAGGGCTGAGGGCCAGGAATGTTGGCATGGAAACACTGCAGGGACTCCATGGATCTGCCCCAGTCAAAATCCACCTGGGAACCCTCACGGGAGGCAAAGGGTCTCCAGATCCCAAAATCCTGGGCATCCCTGGGATTGGCTCTGGGGAGGCAGCACAGGGAGCTCATGGAGAGAGTCCAGAGGAGCTCACGGAGCTGCTCCGAGGGCTGGAGCAGCTCTGGATCCAGCTGGGAGAGCTGGGAATGTGCATCCTGGAGAGGAGAAGCTGCAGGGAGAGCTCCGAGCTCCTTCCAGTGCCTCCAGGAGCTCCAGGAGAGCTGAGAGGGACTTGGGCCAAGGCCTGGAGGGACAGGACCCAGGGAATGGCTTCCCTGGGAAAGGGGAGATTGGGCTGGGACACTGGGATGGAATTCCCAGAGCAGCTGGAGCTGATCCCAAGTGCCATTGGCCTCTGGCCCTCATGGAGACACCAGGGATCATGTCCCAGCACAGCATCCCCAGAGCCTTCTCCATCTTTCCAACCGCTGCCCCAAGCTCGGAGCATCCCGTGGGCTTGGAGTGACCAAGGGCAGGACCTGCACTTGGACTGCTTGACCCTCACACCACTGACCTCATCCCAAGGGGTTGGAGTGACCC